TGGTGTTAATTCGCCCGGCTAGCGCTCTCGCCAGGAACCGACACGAAGTGACTCCTCACCACCGTCGAGTGCTAGTTTCCTCTCAAATGGGTCGCATGAAAACTGTGGTGTCCATATGACTCAACCGTCATCAGTCGAAACAGCGACAGTTTTCGACGGAAGTCTTCCCGGGAGGCGACTGGCCGCGCCGTCGCCGCGTAGAACTGTGTCTTTGACTCCGGGACGGAGTCAGTCGACGACTCAACCTGTAGCAGAGCGTGGCCACGAACCTTATTGACTGTCCCTCCACGAGAGAAGAAACGAATTTCGATTCGAGTTTTCACTCTGGGAAATCAACTGTGAGGGAATAATGAAAAGAGTAGAACACGAAAGAATTGCCTCGACTCCTAGCTTTTCTCCTCCTGCAGCGGTTGATTCGGACCGCGGGATGTTCGATGGCGTGCTCGATCACGGAGACTCACTCTGTTTGTCTTGCAGGTCCCCGAGGTTAGTCTATTTTTCCACTAGGAGTTTTCTGATCAGCAAACAAATCCGTGAAACCTCGGCTTCGGACGAAAAATGAGATCTCCGGTGCGCTTCAATCTCAACGTCAAACAAACAACCGCTTAGAAGTCGATGAGTCAACGCTGGATTTTTTTATGACTGATAGAATCGCATCAGCGTCCTCGAATCACTGCTTGGAATCGCTGCTCGAACCGTGCTTAAGCTTGTTGCTGCCGCCGAATCGAATGATCATGATGGGAGCTCCTCACTCCTCTGAATGATATGCCTCATTTGACGGTCCGCGTTCCCGGCCGGAAGCCTGAGCGCTCGCGTTCGGAAGGCGTTTTCAAGTAACCTTTGTCGTGGGCGGCCAACTATGGAATTTTTCAAGCGGCTTTCTAGCCACCATCTGCTTCCCGCAAGACGCTCACGGTAGAATCATTCTAAGCCTCCGGGGAAGAAATAGAAAGAGAACAGGGAAGCGATGAATAAAACAGGGATCTTCTTTCAATCATCCGTCACGAGTCATTTCATGGAGTTCCATTCAGAAAATTAAGGCAGTTTAGTATCGAAATCTGTAGGAAGCCGATACGAATGCTTAGGGATCGGACTTTCGACGCACCCGACTTCATTTTTTGGTTCCCAGGCCATTTCAAAAAACGGGTTGATGGCTTCACTGCGTTTCCGAATTTCTGTTACGTCCCTACGCTTCGCTCTCACGGTGATTTCACTTTGCTTGGGCGTTTGTGAATTCGCTTTCGCTTCCCTTCAATGTTAAGGAGACGCTGAGGCGACCCACCTGCGAGCGAGGGCCTACGTGTGTCCCTATTTGCTCCCATGACCCCAAAGATTTCTGAAGTTCCAATCAAGAATCTACATCCAGAAGAGACATCGGTGAAAATCAGTTTCTCCACTCGTGGGCGCAAGACGTCAGATGCGCGGTCTGAGGACGCGCGTCTCGCGGCGAGACTCTCGCACCAGAAACGACATTTAGTTTCTTCCATCGCCGTTCGACGCATTGATGTCTCTCGATTGCGGAGAGCCCCGTGTGCTCGCTCAGGAGGAAATGTCAGCGCACTGAATCGTAAATACCAAGTAGAAAGAATCCATCTTTCACTTGACCCGAAAACTTTGAGCATCATGCGATGGAACGTCCAAGCGGTCCATACCATTCCTATGGACATTTCGATTCATGGAATCTTAGAAGCGCCCGCTAAGGTGCCACCGCGATCAATTGAATCATTGTTACGTAAGCGATTCTAAAATGAATTCTTCCCCTGCGAAGCCGACGTCTTCTCGCTCGGGTGCCCTGCTGAAGGCGCGAAGGTTCCATGTGGATAAACATCTCGTCTCCACCTTGTAATCGCTCTTATCCTGGACTAATTACTCGGATCCGTATTCTCCGCCGGAGGGAGAATATTTCCAGCTTCGATACGGCGCGAAGCTCTCCGTACGATGACGTAATATCCCACAATACCCCGACCTCATCGAAAATTTGGGCCCTGTCGAATGAAATAAGTCTACATAAATCCATGGGGATTCTTCCTCGTATCTCCGGAGAGAGTTCCAAGGCTTCTTGACTTGTGAATCCCTCAGCAATGATCCGGATCTCACTGTATGACAACATTTCAGAATGTTGTGCTCTTGTCGTTGGGCCCGACTGAAAACGAAATATTCAGCGCACGAACGGGCAAGGAAGATATGTTCGCTGGTTCGCTCCATGACGACGGGAGTTTTCGTTGAGCCTCCCTCGGCGAATCTTATCCTCCGAGCAATGATTATTCTGGCAGGTCTCTGTGTGAAAACACCGCGGCTCCCGGTTCTTCCCCATTCTTCTCTCGTACGATTGTGACACCGACCGTTGGCTCGTTACAAGCACGAGCTCAGATGGTCCCTATTTGAACAATATCAAGCTGGCTACGGATTGAGGAAGAACGGCCCGACCATCTTGGACATAATCTGCCCTCATCATCGGAGCCTTTCACAAGTACCTGCTGCGCTCCCTCTTCATTCGAGGAAACTCACTCGGGCCCTGAGGGGCCTGGAATCTCACTCGGAAGTGATGAGTCGATCGTTTATCGATGTTGCAATTTCAGAGCTCTCAAAAATGTCAGTGTTATGAGTGGACCGAGCGATTCGTGTATGGAGCTCTCAGATACGCGAAGCATGAAGTTCGATCACATGCGGACGACTCACGCCGACAGCCCGTCGCTGTACAAGTGACTTTGTCCGAAGCGCTCCGTCGGCCTTGCTTCGGCGGCTTGAGAAATATTTGACAGCTTGATTGTGAGCGAAGAACAAAAAATGTAGACTGGGCCCACTTTTCGTTCACGGTGGTCAGAATTCGGGCGATTGCCAAGTCTAGCGGCTCAAGAACTTAGCCGATCTATTTAAAGGTTAGTCAAATTCGACCGCGGCAACACTATGAGCTTGCGCATCGAAATCGGGCATTGCGCGGAAGAAGCTCAATGGATGTTTTCGTGTTTGCATGTAGTCCGAATGTCGCGTGAATTCCCAATTTCATGCGCCGACTGACTGAAGTCGTTCTGCTTGTAACATTTCCAAACGTCATCCGGGTGGACGTCACCTCTTCGCTCGGCAAGAGCGCCGACAATGCCAAGATACATGTGTCTGCATTTGACTCTCGTGGAATGTAGGCGGGAAATGAGCTCCGGTTTCAGTCGTGAGCTGCGTCTCGGAGGGAGTCGTTCTCTGGTGATTAAGTCAAAGAAGAGAAATCTATGCTCGTCCTGAAATACAGCGTCCTCGGTCAGAATAAATCCATTCACTGACGAAGCTCGAGGTCTTATTCGTGTTTTTTTCCATTGTGAGAGGATTCTTTGCATTGAATGTGGGGCATGTGCGAATCGTCTAGGGAGTCCGTCTCTCCCGAAGGCGGTGATTCATTGCGGCTCCCACTAGCATCATTATCCACATATCGGTGGTGGTCGATAACCAAGGCTGCCGCACGGATTACAGTCCATCTTCCGATTTCCCTCACGGAAAGAGCTTGTTATGGATTGAAACGGACCTTCTGATGACCCCGACTCCTTTACTCATCCGGAAGGGTCAGGTCTACAAGACCCGCTCGATGGAGACCGACAAGCAGAAAATAGATCGACAAGCAGCAATTTTTACCAACGGGCATCAGATGGAGACTGGGAAGTCTTCCCATTTCCTCTCTTGCTGGCGACTGTCCCCCGACCATACACGTGGCTCAATCTTTTGGGATTTGATGAGTTTCAGGACAGCAAGCGCTCTGACCGACCCACGAAAATGGAACATTAAAAGAGACAAGCCGCTGGAAGACACGGAGATCACTGGGTTTGACCCTTCAAGTTCAATCGCATCGTTTGTGTCGAACAGGCGAAAGGTGAATGTGGAATGAGGGAACTGGTGAATAAGAAAGACGTTCGACATCTAACAAAGCACGACAGTTCCTTCAATCGCTGTCGGCCATGTCAGGTAACCAAACTTCAGCCATCTAACCATTATCTCTGTTTTCGGTATCGTTTCTTGACGCTCTATTTGTTTTATACTATTTATATTTATTTTATCTTCATCGATGATACGGGACACCTACTATGCGAACGCGCTGGCTCGTGTTACCGGGCACTTCAACAACTAATCGACGTGATCAGGGAGCTCGATTTCGCGCCAAGGTTCCAGGCGCCCTTGAGAATCCCAGTCGTGATCGATACCGATTATGGTGGATTTTTTCAGCTACAGAGGAGGGGACTCTCCATAGGGATCGATCAAACACATTAACTTTCTGTTTTTCACTCTTGGCTTTTATTCATATGGCTTTTCGGAACATCGTCGAGCTCAGTGTGGTGGCCCAAGCGATGCTCGACCGTAGCTGTTTGTCGTCGGTTGGAATTTCCCACAGAGGGGGGAGGACTTCAATTCTGAGGAAAAAGCGCCAGAAAGGTTCCGAAAGAAAATAAGATCGGCGTCCGGATCGGACTGGAACGACTTTTCCAACTTGCAGGCTGCCGCATTCTCATTTGGAGAAACAAACTTCCGCAAGTTCTCACATGTAAACGATCCACAAAAAGCTCTGACTCCATTAAATAGTAAACACACTAGCAGGGAAAGAGTAGAACAGAGAAATATTAAGGTTTTTGACGCGCGTTTTTTGCGTCTCGGTTGCCTCGATCCGACATTGTCGGCTGATCACAACCAGGCCTTGGCCGACAGGGACTGCGGCAGCCTCAGTGATTATCTGTCTGTGTTGGCCCGTATGGATTCCATCCACTTGAATTTTGATAACCTTCAAGAAAGTTTTTGCTCCGACTGCGCGTTCCGGACTGCTTGAGAGTTCGTCCGAAATTCGCTCAGCACGATCAGGCGGAACCAGCGCCCCCAGACAGAAGGGGACGATTTCTCTAGCCACCCGATATCCGGGGGTTAGATTCCAGTGATAGCGCAGCACGGAGTCGAGATGTATCCAAGTGATGAGGCGACATCCACGATCTTCCTTCGGAGTTTCCGAATTCGACGATCACGTTTCATACCTTTCTCACGTTGACTTTGACGCTTTTCACGATGAGCATTTCGTCGTCGCCGCCCCCGTCCCTCTGAAGGCTTCCTTTCACCGGTCTGTCACTCTCCTGCAAAGGCTGCTCCACGAGGATTTCGTCCAAGCCCAGGAACTCCAAAATTTTCCGAAGTGCCGAAGCATCGGGAACTTCCAGAACCGGTAGAGGCACTCGAGGTGCTGCTTGATCCACACGCTCGGATTTCGAATTGTCCTCAGGAGCACCGAACAATGATGGAACGATGTAATGCTCGAAATCGAATTGAGCCTCACCGATAACTTTCTCGACGTTCTCTCGGTGCTGTTGCTGTACAACCTTCCTGTGATTCGGTTTCAAACGGTTAGCCTCCTGGTCACTCATTACCATGTTCTCCTCGACATTGACTTCGGAGAACTTTTGTTCGGGCATGGAAGTCGCCCCGAGCTCTTCGCGAGCCTTTTCCGCCGAGTGCCCGATTTCTAGCCGCGGCTCCAAGGGGGAGACGCTGCTCTTCACGGAAGATTGACTTGACGTGACGGACTTCCCGGGGTTAGCCGTTGTCGCCGGCAAAGTTGAAGGAGCATCGGCCCGCGCTGCCTGGCCGGCGATGATCGTTGTTCCATTAAGCGCTCTTTCAGCGGCCACCGAGGGGGCTGCGTTAGTGACCGCCGCTGGAAGTAAGACACCGAGCACGACAGTGGCGCTGAACGCCCACGTTGTTGGTCTCATGACGCCAGCGGCAACTGAAGTTGGAATTGTCGGTGCAGTTCGGTTGCGAGGCGCGGGAAAGGATTCCGCACCCCCTTCTCCTTCGACGTCGATGACGATTCAGACGGACAGGCAGTCGCGGACTTAAGCACAAAGCCAAACACAAACTTATGGATGGATAACGAACGAGTTGGCGAACTGTTGTTGCATCCACGGACGGACCGACTGGCATTGAAGCGAATCCTCAGTTGAGTCAACCACCCATCCAGCTGGCTAAGGTATCCAAAAGTCAACCGGCCGATGATTCGCTGGCTGGGTCCCCTACATCCCTTGTTGAATGGATGGATGACTGACGCCGATTCGAACTTCCGTCTGAACTTTGCAGATAATGGCTCGATTGAATATAATGTCTGCTTATGGAGAATCGACAAATATCCGTTGTTCGGTCCGACAGTTCAATTGTGTTCGATATCACGCTGGTCCGACCAGAGTCGAGAGAGAAAATGGTTGAGAATTAACGTCAGACGGCTTTTTCTGGACAAGTCGCTTGATTTTCGGCCTCCCCCGTCGGACCTCCGGAAGGGAAGACCTTGATGCTTCTGATTGCGCTCTGCTCGCATATTTCACGTTCTGCAGACAAGTGGGTCTGCGCCTTTGTTCGGTTTGGCGATGCTTCTTGTACGCTTGTCGAAGCGTAATCGCGTGTCTGTGAGCGCGAGCGCTGCCAGACTTGCATCCAGACTAGGTAGGAACAGTACGGGCCCCGATGTTCATTGCCTTGTTATCGTAATCTCCTCGTCACCGGCCTGTATCTCAGACTCGGGACATGCGAAACAGAAGTAGGAACCTACTCATCAAATCTTGCTCTTCGGACGACATTCCCAGGTCAGATCCGACCAAGAAGAAGAACAATCCGAATGTTCGAGCTGCGCTCGATATTCCCGCTGCGTGGTCCCAAAGTCTCAATTATATTTTCATTGCCTCGAACGAAATCCTGACCGCCGAACGACTATTCACCTCAAGCAGAACCGTTCTAAATGCATCGAATCGGGAAAGCTGCGGGATACGTTAGTGGAAAAAGGGAGTCGCAATCGCAGCATTTTTTCCTTCTCTTCCCCTTCCCTGAGCATCGTTTCCTAGTGCTGTGTCATAACCGTTCAGCTTATGATAGTCATTCCGAAAACTACGAAGATTGGTCATTCTATCTGAAGCGTAGAATCAGATGATCCTCCCGATCCGAAGTTTTCTACATGCAAAAACTTCTGATTCGGTTTCGAGAAGGCACTCGGAAGATGCGATGTTATTCTAATTTCAGCTCATGTTGACGCAACGATGGGCTCATGACGAAAGCGGATTTTCGCTGGCTCGGACTCCGTCCGTGGGAATGATCCTCTGAGGTAGGTATTCGTTAAAAATCTCGGCAAGGAAACGAAGCCGCAACGGTCGGATCTTCAAAATCGATAATCGCGGTCAGATACCAGCTGAGTTGGATGCATCGAAAAGTGAGATATTATCGAACTATCTAGGGTAGAGTAGGGCCCTCGTTCCATCATGAGTTCAAGAAAGGACGACACCGACCAAGAGCTGAGAACTTGAAGAGTCCCGAAGAGAGGCTATGCAAACGCATTCGACGGTCGTGAGTGACGGGTAAGGGGAGGACAGCCGCGGCAGCCGCTAGCTGAGAGAGGAAAACCTAATACACCCTCACCAGCGCCCCCCATATGGACAGTGAGAATTTTCAAGTATCTATCACTACATTCCTCCGGATCTTTCATACGCATATATGATTGATGTCATCTTAGTTATAACAAGCGCGACGGAGAGTAAATAAGATCGAGGTGTTCCGGGACTTCGGTCTCGATAAGGCACGTCTTGGATTGATCTCAACTATCCTCGATTCCCTTCCCGTGAGCTCCGACGCGGAAATCCACGCCTATAGAGGGATACGAAGACGAGTGCCCTCTCCGGGACGACCCGTAAGAATCTCGTATCGAGAATATCTCTCATATTCAGCAATTCTCGTCTGAGGGGACATCTGGACCTTTGGTTGAAGCGACGCGAATCTCCGGAACTTCCGCGATCCGACCTTCAGAATGATGTGCACCTAATCGTGGGATCCAATCCGAAGGAAGCTCCGCGGAGGTCCGCCTCGGGAATGACCGTCCCCTTCCCGCTATGCTATAATTGCGTCCCGAGGGGAAGAAAAATGCCGAACTCAGATGGGGGAAACTCGCTACGAGCATTGGAGATAATTTTCAACGGGATAAGTTGCGGACTCTCATGGATTGCTGCATGAGAAGGCTCGACCACACTGGTACCCCGGGGAATCAAGAGGCGGATGAAGGTTCTGGATGGGCGAACTGATAATTGTGGGCTATGAATATAGGACTTTCGTCTAGGCGGGTGGACTTGATGAGATGTCAATAAACTTCTTCTCTGGCTTCTGAGAAAAGCTTCATATCGCAGAGGCGACAGGTCAGGGAATTTCGCGTTCTGTGGAAGCTCCGGCAAAGACTCATTGAAACACCCATGTACTGTTCCATTGCCTGCACTTAGGAACGGATGTCGGTATGGGAATGGAAGAAGTACCATGCTAAGAAATTCCGTGACGAATTATGAAGAGCAGCATGCTTGCATGGCAGACCTTGCTCGGGACCGCTCCACCTATCTCACCCGCCTTGCTATGTACATATTTCACTGATAAGTAGTTACAGAACGAGCGGGGCGATTCTCGGGACCGAGGACGATTCCGCCCATCACAGAATTTTCCCGCCCGTGGGATTCCCGTACAACATTCCATTGGGGTATACGCTTCTCTGCTCTCCCGTTTCATTCCATCGATTCGATGCTTTTGAAAAAGGGCATCGGGGCTAGGAAATGGAGCATGAGAAGAGATGCGCCTGACTCGACAGCAGGCTGAAACATGATTACGTCCAGCGGCTCATCGTCCAGGCAGAAATGACATTCCGAAAAGGCAGATTCGGCATTGGAAGAGACGTGAAATCGGCTGTGAATATAGGCAAGATGTGCACTCGAATTACCTAACCGTATGTGGCATTTGGAGTGGACGGAAGAGGTACACAAAATGAGCGAAAACGGCGGAGTGGGCTTCCCGATTGCTCGACTGGATCTGGGGAATGAGCAGTATCGGCCCAACTAATTGACAGAAACGGCACATGATGCAGATTGGATGAGCGGAACCAGTCGGATGAATCCGTGACCTTTGACCGAAATACTCCAATATACTCAAATACAGCTTTCTTCAGGAGGGATAATTGTACTTTGGCGTCAAACGGCATTTCACATTTTCTCGTGTCGGAGAATGTCTTCAGCCCGGAAGGAGTCCTTCGCAAAGGGAAAACGTCATTCCGACGTCAACGCTGACGAGGGGAGCCCGCGTGAACGAAGGGATATCTCCGATGCTTGGATGAGTTTTTTTTCCGCTGATGTCCCGACGTTGTACAACTTTCTCCAGGCCGATCGTTTTGCCGAGACGCGGCTTATCAATGGATACCCTCTACAACCTACTCGCACCGGATTATCAGATCGGCTCCCGGGGCCGCCGCGATTTCTAGTCGTCTCTCAGGGTCCGTCACGTACTCCAGGCTCTAGCTCAAGGGGAGAGTGATACATTCTAGCTTGTTCATCCGGAAGGGAAATTACGCGAGGCTGCCCCGGATGAAAACAAGATACGGCATCAGATCGGCGACGCCAAGGGGCTCCTCGAGCTCCCTGATGCAAGCTGTCCCCAGGCTGTCGAGCCCATCGAATACAGCCCTGCACGAGGATTCCTAGCTTAGCTTCCAGACGTTCTTACCGCGACCGAATCTCATATTGTACGCAGCTCCCGTTACAGATTGCGAAATGATTTGGAGACGTCTGAATTTCGTAACCTGCGTCATCACATCGTATTCCATGAACTGAGCGATCCAGTCCGAAGCGGCCTGCCAATCAAAATCCACTGAGGATCAAGTCCATGGCCACACACGATGGTCGATGGTCGGCGGTTGACTCTGGGTGTAAATATTCGGTACGTCTTTTGGGCACCCTAATCAAATCTAATCTATGAATTTGCGGGCTGTGCGGTTCGAATCGATTTGTCCCCATTTCCGGAGATGTAAAACATGACCAAAACGGAAAAAGCCTCCAAGTCTTGTAACCACGGTCGTGATATTACGCCACAGACGCGCGATGACCAAGTGAGCAGAAAACCTTGATGTTCGACCCTCAAGAGCGCTCTCAAAGTCTCGCTTTCGATGTTTACTGAAAAGATTGGATCTATGGTATTCATTCCACAGGAGGAACGAAGCTAGGATAGGCTTCATAATTGATCTTCAATACAAAAGCGATCAGTCCTCCGGCACGCTCTGTTAAACTTAACGTGGGATCGTTCGACGAGACGTTCGCTGTCCTTCCATTTGGGGGAATCTCTCTCCGTCAGGCGCTTACTTCCCTCTTCCCCGAGGTCTCTCCACAGCGAGCGGGTGAAGGATCGAGTGAGCGAGCGCGCACTTCTCTCTCCGGGGAAGCTGCCTTATTTCGAAACCTAGCCTGAAAGGTTGGCCCCTCTTTCGAAATTGCTTGTTCTCCTCTCAGAGCGGCGACGGCTCCGCTCTTGGCTAAATAAACTTCTCAGCACTGCCCACACTGCAGAGAACCAGAGAGACAGTCCAAGGAACGGGAACCGAAAGCGTAGCTTTCTCGATTGGAGCGTTCTGAGAGCAACCTCTGGAGGCTTCTTGTAAAAATGTCAAACGGTACGGAGGGAGTGAGAAAACCGGTGAAAGTGTGGTGTGATGGATGGTGAGTTCGGAATCGCTAATCGCTGAAGCTGCTTTGACGAAACTTATAAAGCGCTACCCGGAGCGCTCATTGACAGTCGAGAAGTGTATGATGCTACCCTTGATGGCGATGTGGGGTGTCTTTGACTTGTCTCTGGATCCGGTCGGGGAATACTCTTCCACACCGGAGGTAGACGTATTAGCTGAGTCCACTGACGAGCTTGATCCTTTGAATCGATAGAGCTGCGGGAGATACACGAAAAAACTCAGCGGTCTTTTTCTTGGATAGATCCGGGAAATCACCGTAATTCGAACGTAGGCAACGCTTTCCCCCTCTCTGATAATCGGCAGGAACGTCACACAGGCAGACGCTACAGTCTATCCACAAAGTTTAAAGGGCATGACGCCTCTCGGTGTTGGCCATAGTCCCAGCACTGAATATGGGAATCACGAGATAAGCATTCAACAATAGAGAATGTTAGGGAAACAACGCAGTCACGTTCGTTGTTTTCCGACGTTTTCTTCGACGTAGGTGTAGAGTGTCACAGAGGAGTGACCACGAAAATTGCCTCGCGAAACTCAATCTGAGATACTCGCCTCCTTCCGCTGGGCATCGCCGCCGAATTCGTGATAGCTCGCATAAAGTGCTGAACTAGCTCTGGAAGATCTGATCAATCGATCCTCATTGAGATGGGATTTGTCGATGGTCTTCGATAAAAGAGGGGAAACACCACACCAGCGCGCATCATTTCGGACGGAAACACGTCGGAGTAGCGGTCGCTCCGTCTGAAGGCCTCGAAATTCCGGACCGGAAGAGGAAATTCCTTCCCACGGAGTCGTTTGGGGTCCTAGCACGATGAGTCGTAGGAGACTTTGCATCTCTCGCGAAATGCAATGGCCTGTCCTGTGGAAATCAAGGGTATCTCCCTACCGGAATATTTCCTCCCGATGATTTGAGATCTAAGAGGAGAAGTCGATTGACGCCTCTTTCGTTATTTCAGTTACGACATGGTTCACTTCGGGCACGCCAATCAGCTGCGGCAAGCCAAAGCAATGGGAGATTATCTCATCGTGGGAGTACACACCGATGGTAAGCATACGTCCCATAAATGAGTGATAAATTAGGGGGACCACAGGGCCGTGCCGGATGTGTCTTCCGGTGGACGGCTCTCGAAACCTAAAGAGCTGTGTTCAGTCTAAAAGCGAGCCTATAGGCGTTTCTACCTGTCTCTTTCTGTCTCTAATCTCGACTGGAGAGCTTCTCAAGGATACTTTAATCGCCTTATCCATCCGGTAGTCGGTACTAGTAGTGACAGTGTCAACGACGCAACGCTATCTCTTGCGAGAGTCCAAGAATCCAACCTGTCGGTCCATCGGATAATGCGTCCGACTCCAGAACGGCACGGACTCCCGAAGATGACTCGAATGAGAGTTCAGGACCGATTCAACATTGCTCCAAACAACCCCTATATCAAAGCGATTCATTTTTTAATTCACCTCCGGCGTTCTTAGATTTCGCGGTCGCCTGAGCGAACCTCGGATGCTTGATGAGATTCTCCCTCATTCGTTTGGCAGTTATAGAGTTCGGCCGCGGGAGGGCAGGGGGATCTAGCATTCTAGTCGCTCAAGCAAACTTCCCCGATAGGAAGACGACAGCGTCATCCACGAGTGTGTGAGAGAGATGCTCGGCATTCACTCCGTGAGAACGACTGATTGTCCCCAGCCGCAACAGAGCGGATTCCGGATGAGAAGGAATTCAGTGTTGCCTGGGTTACTGCCAGCCCTTCGGAGACCGCTAGGGCAACATTGGTCGATCATCCATATATCGTTTTGCTATGCTTAAATAACGAATTCTTCCCACAGAGGAAATCATTGCCCACAAAGGTCCACCGGTTTTTAACCAAGAAGAACGCTACAAAATGGTACGCGCCATCAAATGGGTTGACGAAGTCGTAGAAGGCGCCCCTTATATAACAAGCGTAGAGACACTCGACAAGTATGACTGCCAATTCTGCGTTCACGGAGGTGAGGGTCGCCACATGTCGACCGGCGAGCTCTCTTTCAGCTCGCAGGCCTAACTGTGAGCTGTAACGGGACGTTACATATGTACGAACGGTTCCCTGTCTGATTGAGACAGGGGTAAACTCTGTGTTCCATCATTGCTACTCGCTGCGCAGCCGATAACATGGTTCTATTGTTCCTTCAAGATGACTTGACGATGGACTCCACCGGTCAGGATACTTATCGATACGTGAAGCAGGGTGGACGGTATCGAGAGTGTAAACGCACGGCCGGCGTTTCGACAACTGATCTTGTCGGTCGAATGCTCCTTATGACGAAACAACACCACAATCTCGGAGCGCAAGAGTATGGCGTGGACAGAGAACACGCCGGAAACATCTCTAAAGTACGTCCAAGACCGCTCCCGCTCTGTCTCAAGATTCCGAGTGTCCTTGCACGAACATTTCATATAATGATCGTGTTATCCTCGCTTGACCGCATAAGCTTTAAGCTAATCTCCGGGCCTTCTCAAACGAGCATGTGTCTTGCGTAGAATGATTTCTGATGCATGGGTATAACTGCGATGCATTTCCTCTGTAAGACAACGCGGCATGACCTACGAAAGTTTCAGTTCACTCACCATCCAGACGGCTCGCAAGTAAGTGCATGCTTTGCTAGAACGAAAATACCTCATCAGAAGATATCGAACGACCATTGAGCAACTCACGAGTTGCGAGTACCCTGGATGCCTAACAGGAGTTCCCAAGAATGCACGGCATGCACGAAAAACTTCCTCACCCGTCTAATATTTCCCTCCTCTGGGGAGCATAGTCTCGGGGAAAAAAGTCCGCCCAGATGTAAGTTACGTTTTCAAAGCTGGTGATCTTCTTCGACTCAATGCGTCGATGAACTCCCACAGGACCCCACAACGCACAGCCCTTGGACAGGCATCTCGCAATTCCTCCCCACCACGCAGAAGATAATTCAATTCTCTGAGGGAAAAGAACCCAAAGTAGGTGATTCATTCAAAAATCTCGACCCTCGGACAGTCTTATCATGGGCCCCGATTTCCGATCCGTCTCGATCTTCGATTCTCATCTCGATTCTCCGAAATCTTCGGAATTCTCAGCTCGATCTTCGATTTTCAGCCCACCGATCGAATCGTGTACACAGCCGGTGCCTTCGATCTCTTCCACATAGGATACATTGATTTCTTGGAGAAGGCCAAGGAACAAGGGGATTATCTCATCGTCGGACTTCACACAGATCCCGTCGTGAACCGGTAATACTGCCAATCGACGAGCGTCCTTGCGTATCTCAGATTTCGAAAACGGAGCATCCTCCATATTCAACTCGGATCGATCTCGATTCCAGATACAAGGGATACAACTACCCGATCATGAACCTCCATGAGCGCGTCTTATCTGTGTTAGCCTGCAAATATGTGAACGAGGTGGTGATAGGTGCACCTTATTACGTTTCCAAAGACCTGATGGAACACTTCAAGGTGATTCTATTTTGAAAGCATCGGCATAGAAAATTTCTCGCCGCCACCTACGTCGAGACGGACACATGTTGTTGTACTCACACCTGGGAGCTTCCTTGATCTTAAGGCGGCTTTTGCTCTCAGGTGTCTGTCGTCGTCCACGGCAAAACGAACATCATGGACGACCTCGACGGCCGTTCCCCATACGAAGAACCCATTAAACAAAAGAAGTTCGTCCAGATCGATAGCGGAAGCTCCGTGACCACTCACGAGATCGTCACTCGGATCATAAACAATAGGCGAGTGAATGTCATTGATTTCGTTTCCAATAGCGTTCGAAGCGCGCTCTGCTTCAGGTCGGAAGTTATGTTCCTCCTAAAAGCCCTAACTCCTTGCAGACTCCAGTTCCAAGAGCGGAATGCGAAAAAAGAGGCAAAGGAGCTTGCGGCCTATGACGCCTTTCAAAAGACACGACAAGAGGAATGAGCTCCTTTTTCAATCACTTGACTGCCCTGTGTCCCGAAGCCGACCTCTTTCCTCTTACCGATTCGGATAAAAAGACGCGTTGAAAGCTGAGGCTCCAGTAATACAATCAAACAGTGTGATCGATCGCCAGGTTGATTATTTATCGATTTTACATTTCTCCTGTTAGAACGAGAGCCTCATTTCGTCCGTATTGATTGGAGGAGAGGGGACGTAGCCCCTCATCGCCAGGGTGCTCGACGGATTCATCACCTTCGAAGGATTCATCTCCTCAAGGCTATATAGTGATTGCATTGTGAGGTTTCCGATCGACTTATGCACGTAACCTCTAGGGAGATGAACTTTCGAGTTATAGCGCTCTCGTTGAAGAAAGCTCGATCGTCGGTTAATCCTGCCAGGAAGCGCTCCATTCGCGGCAGTCGTGAGAATTTCCTTCTCGGGAGCATTGAGCAGAAGTGGTACTTCTCTCCAACCAAGTCATTGATTATAGCTTTTTCTTTAATGCTTATTGCTTATTATACATGATAATATTATATCATTCACAAGTGGCCTCAGACGTTTATTTTATAAAAAGCGGATAATAAATCCAGAGCTTCCACTGGTTTAACGGAGTAGCGCAATAAATAAATCGAATCGACTTGAGGGTCCTCATGCCTCGTGCATAGGATAGATTAAGGGCACATTCCGATTCTCCGGTCGACCGAGGGAATGATTCTGACGATCAGCCCGCGGAGGGGGTCCTCGAGTCTCGAGGATCAGGGATCAGCACAGCACATCCGTTGTCCTCGAATCCGAAATGAATGATCTGAGGAGAGGGACAATGACCGGGCCAAGACCGTGAGCGTACTTTCTCCGGAGATTCGAGACTTTTTCTCGGACTCTTCCGTAGCAGAGACTGGAATTTCTGGAGAATCTGACAGAATTTCCGGGCACGCCGAGTGGATCGAAGAAATTGGATCGCTTCCGCTTTTGTGATCATTTTCCTTGGTCGATGTCCCAACCCCCTGACCGGCTCCGTTCCGCTCGAAGGGTGACAACCTAATGAAGTACGTAAGTTCGAAATCTTCGATTCCACCATTTGAGCTCGTCTCCGAAGTTCTACCCCGAGCCTTAGGATTTTCGTGCTCTACCGACAGCAGGCTCTCTACCGACTGCTTCGAGTCCGCGAGCCGAGAAAGAACGGAAGAGATAGGACCTCAATCGTTTCTGTCGATTCAGGACCCGTCTTCCGTCACACGCTCTTACATCCGGCCATGCCTAAGCTTCCGAAGCGGCAACAACGCTCCACGTGGAGCTTCCCAATGTCTCTCCTGATCCCTCACGTGCTCTGAAGAGATACAAATCAGAGCTTCCGCTCCACGGCAAAAATCGATCGGCGGTATAGAAGGGGCAGTTCTCAGTGTTTTCAAAAGAGGTCTTTGCGTTTCTCCGATATACCGGGGGGAGGCAACCTTTGCCGTGTGGATGATCTTTTCTGAATGTTTCATGACATGCCGCTATCAGGATAGCCCAGGTCGGACGACAGCGCACCGATGACGAGTTGAACATCATTGACAAGCGCGCCCATGCAATTGGCAAATATCCCAGTTGTTTTGTGTGTCGACGCCGTTACCATGGTAGTGGACCCGATTTCTTTGGTAGTGGCCTCTTCAGCCAGGAGACATAGTCGCACACAGGCACACGCTCCTTGTTCGCTCTTTCACTCACTCACCCACCAAGAACAGAGACTATAGCTACCGGTGTTCACAGGTAGCTCTTCCGTCTATTAGGAACAACTAGATTCGAACCCATGTTCGATGCGGATATCGTCGAGTTTTCTCATTCATGTGGCATGAGGTGCGTGGAAGTTATCCCATCGATGAGTGGAGCATAGCCGATATCCTCGGAGAGGGGGAGAGGCCGGTGAGTTCATACTTTCATGATTTTCATACCGAAGTCTCAAAAACCACGAATCTATCTATTCCCCCGGATCAGTCGCCGCTGATCCGGTCGGAAGTCAGTTGCGGCCCGTGGAGTGGTGCGGCAACCAGTCGAGTATCACGAGTCCGAGCCATGGTCCGAGGCTCCGGTAGGAGCTTCGACCCGGAGTTAAGTTTGACGTCGTTGGACCGATGTGAATTTCCACGCCCAAGAATCATTGTCACACTCAGCTCCTCATTGTAATCGTTAAATTGCGGAATATTCGCGCTACAGCCCAGAGTTCTCGGAACATTGGGACGAGTCAATCCGAGTCTCCTGTGACAGAGTAGAATCACCGTAAGGACTTCCCTTGCGAGTACCGATAGTTCTCGCCGAGCATGATCAAACCTGTTCTTGGCCGGCCCAAAGCTCTAGCCGCATCAGGATCTTTTATGCCGATCACATTCCCGGGCAATGTGAGCGAGATATCCATTCTTCGAGAGACCTGCAGTCTCCCTCTGGGTCTAGGCTCTGAAGCTCCACGTTAGCCGATTTATGCAAAGCTCTAGCACGATCCACGAAGCAGATGAAGGACATGAAGGGATGACCATGATTTCCGGCTGCTCAATCTCGAACAAACAATGCCACAATCGATTCTGGTGGTCGTAGATTAAACCACGATGTGAAACAAATGTGCTCTTGTTGCAGTCCGGGCATGCTCATACATTTTAAGCTTGAGGCTGCGATCTTTTATCTATCCTACGCGAGGGTGTCGCGCGATCGGGACAATCTTCTTGAAAAGTGCTCGCTTGTCATGATTCGGGTTAACCCCGCGCTTCGATGCCTTCTCAAAGACGCAGCCATCAAAAGATGCCCACGCAGTCGGTTTCACGCTCTGTGGCAGATTACCGAAGCTTGATGTGCGTGAACGGATCCGAGTCTTCTGTCGGAGACGAGCGAGTGTTCAACCTTGATTAGTCGGAACCGCGCGGCGCTCGGATGATGATTCGAATTTATTAGTGGTCCGTGCTCTTACAGTGCCAATGATTTTTTTTGGTATTTTACACCGAGTACTCTTTGAAATTACGTCATTACTGCGGAAGTGTCTACCCTCATCCTCCCAGATCACAGCTCCGACAAAGATAGCCAGCAGAAAATTGTGGATGATTGGGTCACCACCCGCTCCATGGCAACCACGCAGATGCGTCGCGGGTTTTGTCCCGCGCGTCGGCTCATATTGATTGAATCAGGGTTTATTCTCCGACCTGCCACAGACTGATGAATAAATCGTCTGACAGTTTGCCAAAGATTGTTCACCCGTCTCCGTTCGCCATCGAGCCCGCCGTAGAAACCGGTGCAAGCTGTCACTCCGATGGGTATCGTATTGTTTTTGATATTCCATAGGCATTTCCGAATTTCCTTCGTCCGTTCGGATCCCTCTCCTGTTGGCACATTCACTCGCTGTCGACTGGAGTGCCTGCCTTGCCGCTTCCTTCGTTGGTCGGCGCACCCTGAGCGACCGCAGCGGCATCTGTGCGAAGCGGCGATTTTCAGAAACTCGTGCGTCGTCAGACACTTGCCAAAAGCCGCCGTTATTGAAGTGTCACTTCTGCGGAAAGTTACCAGTTATACAACTCTGCGGCGTGAAGTCGGCTCCTCTGTGCTTCGGGCCTTCATTTGTGCTTCTCGGATATCGGTGTGACAGTGAGTGCCAAGTACTCCGGGGAAGGAATCCTCAGCAGCTATGATCCACTTCGGCAGGTGTGAAGACATAATGACTTGAAGATCATCTCAAGGTAAATGATCCGGAGAATCAATCAGCGACTTTGAGCACGCAGCTTCACGAACCGGGAAGAACACGGAAAAACAAGAACGGATGCACGGGCATCCTGTGGTGAAATCGAGAAGAAAGACGCGAAATCTCAGAGGTCCACTCCTGTCATTCCGCGGAATGCAGCCGAGCATCGAAGATCAGATTTGAGCCCCAAACAGGGCTTTGCGAAAGACTTGAGCGGAATCATGAGACGTTCATGCGAAGAGATTCATCCTCGTGAGCCTCCATCCATCGAGTGTATAGCAATCTAAATAGTGCTTCAAAAAAACCTCCACCAATACTTTTGGTGGGCCCTCCCAAAAACTTGTAATGGAGCCGTTCCGAATCTTTTCTTCCGGGTCTCCTGAGGGAAATCTCTCCGATACCAGCGATACGATGTGTCATAGCATTGAATCCCAGGTCGAAGGTACAATTAGGCCGTATTAAAATCACAGAGGCTTATGACTCGGAGAAAGGTCGCAGTTTTTGATGAGCCTCATCCCGATCTCGAAGCAGATTCTGGATTCCCTCGTACCTCGATCCGACGCCTTCTGAGAAAGATGTTGTTTTTGTTGCTCAGAGCGTTGCGTTAGCGACGGCATATTCTGACAGCAAACCAGCCGTCTGGTGACTCCGGATCAGCGCAGAGAAGTTCCGGCCGCCACACTGAAGCCGTGCGGAGCGCTGACCTCGCTCAATGGCCGATGTCGTTTTAGTATGAGAGCCGGAGAGCGCCTTCTCTCCCGTTAGGGAGCTTTTTTCCTTTCTTTTTCGGCAGCCGCAGGCTCCGGGAAGACTTGACAATATCATACGCATATTCCTGTGCACACTGAAGCACACTATCGGACTACATCCAGTAGCACCTTCGGGTGGTGACTCAGAGTCGTCGGAACGAAAGTCATTCGACGATTCAGCTGCAGATTCGGAGCTAGGTCCCGATCTGAAAATCGTCCCTATATCGGGGACTCGAAGAAAGAATAGCCCATAACAAATTGGCGGAACGATTCAATGGCAGCTTCGCTGATATCGAACGCGCTACTCTCATGCTTGTGTTGACCGAAAGGTCGTGGCCGGTCGTGTCGGAATACGTTTCTATGCTTCCAATTTCTGTGAGCCGGTGGTGTGGGTTCTCGGTGGACCTCCCTCGTGGATGATCCGCAGCCATACAGAGTGTTAGATTTCGCAGGACTTGCATGAGACACCTTAGAACAAGTCTCGCGCGAGCTGTAAGCATGGAAAACTGGATTCGCCCGGCTAATTTCTTCGGGATCATCGTATTTTGTATCCCCATGTATTTTGTGATCCCGTCAGGTTTCATCATTCGTCGACTCCGGAAGTCTGACACATCATAAATCATAATTATCAGTAGGTATGTGATGAATCTCAGGAGAAGGAATTATATCTCCCAAACAAGTTTGAGATCTCTCCGTGGAGACGATTCCGGGTTCTGCAAAGTTCGCGGGCTCCGATTCCGAGGAAAGACGCGACTCGACGCCGCCAGAAAACAGGGTTTCCGATTTCCCTCCACTACGGCGACTCGAATGGTCTCCAGAAACAGTCTGCAGTCTGCGAATTCGAGGCTCATTTGGCGACAATCCCAGAAATGGGTGGCGCTCACAATAGCTTCACCTATTAGAACAAGGTGTTCATTCATCTCATGTCAACTCCATTTTCTCCGAGACAATTTTCCATAGAGCTTTTTTTTCTTTTGTCTCGCCAAAGAAGAACCCGTTTCAATATCCTATCTCGGGAGGGACGCATGCCTAAAGTTGTTGGAATAACGACATTGCTGGATACTGTTTGGAGTGTGACCTGAGAGTGATATGTGGGCTTGTTTTTTACTTTCTCTTTTTTCCACAGTCCAGAAAGAGGAGCGGAAAGCAGCGGAAAGGAACAAATAGCTAGAGGATGTTCCATAGCTCCGGGGCGTTTCGTGTTTTGTTAAGAAGCAGCAGCGATAGATCTTGTGCCAGATCATTCTACTCGTGGCCGGCTGGAGATGGGTTTTTCTTCGCTTTCTCGGGGGAAGTCGGCTGATAGCTTCCCCGCTCTTCCTTGTTGTCGTCTAGCGGCCCTTCCCTCTGGTTTCCTTCTCGACGGTTTCCTGTTCACCTACTCCAAATTACTCGCGCTTCACACCTAATGGTTGACAGTTTCCCTCAGAAATGACGGGAAATACTCTTTGTTATCCCGTCGGATGCAGTCGATGAAATCGAGCCGCCTCGATGAAATATCAATTTCTGGCTTTCTGAAAAACCTAGGCCGGGAGATGAGCATCTCCCGGATGTCTGTCCCGAATTGCGAATGTTTCAGCCGGATCAGGGTCTGGATTCAGATCAAGAGCCGCATCGCCGCTGCGTTCACAGACTTTTCAAAAGTGTTCTGTTGTCCGACACGATAGAATCACGCGAGCATGCCGGAGACACGCTGAGATTACGAGATTCGAAAAAAGCACAGCTTTGACATGAGCACACTTCGAACTGTCAGGGTTTTTATTCTCTGGCTCTTCTCCCCTATTCCTTTTAGAAGAGGGGGAGGAGAGTGACAACAGTACGTGGATGCTAAGCGATCGTTTGTTAAGATTACAAACATTTCAATGGAATATCACTGCTTGATCGGCAGTCTGTCCGACAAGATTCCCCTCATTCTTGTCGCTCCTGAAGCGCCTCCGATCTCGCGATGGACTCTCTGTTTGGAAGAATTATTTCTAAACTCGTCTCGACCTGTCAAGCTTGGAAAAAGTGCGAACGCAAAACCTGTCTTCAGCTCTCCTACAAGGAGAGAGAGCAGGAGGCGATCTGACGCCGTCAGAGATGTCGCTTCAATACATTCGATGGGACGGTTCGACGGTTTAAGACAAGAAGACTAGCTTCAAGCGTCGACTGCATGTGTCGTCCGCAGTCTCCGGCAGAGGGTGGCCCACGGACAGATGACTCACTGAGTGTATCAAGAGCAGAATGAACAGACTCATTGGTTTCAAGTTATAATGTTTCGCTTCCAGGCAATCACCCCAGAGTTTATCTCAGAGCAGAAGCAGATAATTTCTTGTCTGGCCTGATAGCTGGAAGATGACCAATCTGTACACAGCTTGTTGTTTGGTGCTCTGGTGTGCAGCGTCAGCGTTGGCTCAACAGCAGCCAACGATATCGTATATATCTCAGCCAAAAACTGTCAGCATCGGAGATACCGTCGACCTTGACTGCTCCGTGCAGTACGCGTACGATTTCCCCGTTTTATGGGTGAAGGTGAGTAACGTCGATGACTCCAAATGGGAATCGACTTATCGATTTCCCTTCTTCGCCCTCGGTGTCAGAAAGAGCTGAGAAACTAAGATGCTAGAACGAGGGAGAATGTTGACGACGCTCGAGTCGGTCATACAAGGGATGCAAACCTCCTGGTGGGTTCCGGAGTATAAGTTCTCACCCAGGACGCGCGTCGGAAAATCAGCACCGGGACAGGGCTAAAGGCTTTCCGCTTTTCAGCTCAATGGAGAGAATGATGATGTCATGTTCATTTCAACGGGATCGTCCCAAATCGTGCCCGATCAAAGATTTTCGATTCGACACGACGCCACAACTTCATCATACACTTTACAAATCACGAAACTGCAGGAGACTGACGGCGGCATCTACCAATGTAGAGTCATCCTGGGCCAGGTGGGTAGTACCCTTACGAATGTCTAGACACAGAGACCGGTGCCCGTCGCGTTTTCGGGACGGAGGACGCGGCGGATAATTGTGTCCCGAAGATGAGCTCATTCGAACTTCATGCGTATTTCTCTTCCAACTCTAGGTCTCTATCCTCACGAAAGACGTGCGACTTTTTGTCCGAGTCCCGCCGGTAATATCGGACAACTCGACGCGTTCAATAATTACATCCACGGGGAAAAATGCGACGTTGGAGTGTTTTGCCCGAGGGCAGCCGAAACCACGAATCAGTTGGAGGAGGGAAAACAATAATCTTCTCCCCACCGGAGGTTCCGTCTATCGCGGTGAGTCGCATCTCCGGAATCGATCCGGCAATATTGAAAACCCGCGAAAGTGACCGGATGATCCTACTCGAATTCGTCGATTCATCGAAATCAGGAGACCAAGGGACACGATTCACAAGCGAAGTACCTGAATCTACTGTTCAGACTGTGTTCCCCGGAAGCTGCGATGGCTCCATATTTCTTTTTGATAGAAACAAAGAGTTGTTCAAACATCTGAATTCACATCCTCCCCAAAACCGCTCTTCGAACGTGACGTCCCCGTGGAGCTACTGTGTTGTTCCGGGTCTGAGGTCATGAATTATTTATACGATTCCCCTTCGCTCCCTCGTCTTTTTCGAAGAAGATCTCTTCAATATTGATCCGGTGCGTCGGCTTCACGGCCGAGGAGATGGAGAAAAATCGTCGGAAATGGTATCATCAGCTTCGGTATTAGCTCAGCTCCAGAAGGGTCATTCCACTCAAGCCATCCGCCTCTGAAAATGAGCTAGCTCCGACGGGATTTACACGGGTTGTTGTACACACTTCAGGGAGGAACGGAGAACAATATGCTCGTTAAGCACTGTGTCTGCTGATCGCCGATTTGCCACCTCGCTCATTATCGTCGGGGCGGCTCTGGGTGTGTTCGGATTGGACATGTCGTTGATTTCCGCTAATGTATAGTTGTATAGTTGCGATTCTCCATAGGATCCCGATCGAAATGAGGAGTGGCGGTTGGATCGGAGTTGCAACCTCAAATGAGTAGAGTCGTTTCTTTCGACGGGAATCGATAGGATGGAAGCGATATCTGCCGATACAGCCTCGATAAGCGATAATTCATCCTCCGTAGGCAACGTCCTCCACATTTTCAATGTGACCAAGAACGACCGAGGCATCTATTACTGCATCGCCGAGAACCAAGTAGGGAAAGGCGCGCGTAAGAACATTGGCGTCGAAGTCGAGTTCCCGCCGGTGGTCGTCGCTGACCGAAGGCACTACTCGCAAGCGATCAATTATCCCGTGGAATTCCAATGCCAAATCGAAGCCTATCCGACGCCGAGTGTAGTTTGGCTCAAAGATGGTGAGTTCGATCCCGATTCTCCGGCATGATCATGAACCGAGAGACTATTCGTGCGTTCGCCTAGACGGCAGGCCAGCCTCGGAGCAGTTTTGATATACATAGGACGAATCTCCTCCCTCAAGGTTATCAACTCCACACGAATCAGCATTACAAGATATCCATAATGAACTCGGGCCATGAGTTGACTACCACAATGCTCCGGGTACACGCCGTCGAACGATCTCAACTCGGCAACTACACGTGCAGGTGAGTCTCCAGAACAAGCCGTGTAGACCCCTTTCTTTAGGGAACCTCAAAGCTACAACACCTATCCGCTAGACCACCTCCGAATAAGAACTTTAATGAATATCTATCACGGATGCTAAGGTGCTTGAGAGGCTTCTCAGGCCCGTGGAATTGAGGTTGAAATTCTCTGAAAATTTTCTGAAGTTTCTCAATGTTGTTGAATGATCGGAACGAAGAGGGTTTCCGGACCAGGCGAACCCGTATACCTTCTAAAGCGCTCCGCCGTCGTTTTCAGAGCCATAAACAAACTTGGCACTTCCGAGAAGATTATGACGCTGGTCGAAAGCGATTCCGTGGTTTGTCCTCCAGCTTGTGACTCTCAGTACCTCTCCGGTAGCAGCAGCATCAGAGCTGCGGTCACGCTTCTGGCTGTAGGATTACTCTGTACACGTACAGTTCCATGAAGACTCGACGCGGCGTTTATTGTCCCTAAGGGCAGCTACACGTCATGAGCGCACGATGACTGTAGTAACTTGTAAATAGAAAATTATCTGACGAGATATGAATGCTGGAGAAACTGAACGAGTCGTGCGTCGCTCCAAACCCGGGTCTTGACTTTTCGTCGGATGTGTAGATGATTCGTAGGGGTGACCTCGGGTTTCTCTTCGCGCTACGGAACACGATGAATACCTTATCGTGGTTCGGAACTCAATTCTTCTCGGCTGTCGAGAACAGCTCAGATTTCCCTCCATCCGGTCAACATTTATAGGTGAGTCCTCTACTGTCGGGATCCAACGCGGGTTACGTACCGTGGATTTGGCTGAGTGACAGTAAAGGTTCGGAGTATATCTCTCGGATAGTTCGCCGGAATGTTCTTGTAAAGATGAGCAATATTTTGTACCTTTTCTATCGATGTGCTCGTGTGATTGGGTTTGTGAAAATCGAACGTGCGCGAATATACATAGAATTCATACAGGATAACACAGAGTGCAATATTTTTGGAATGTAAAGAATTGTGCAGAAGTCGGAGAGAGGATATCATGCGACCATTGAAGACCGTACTTCGATCAGTCGGGTCCGTCGACTCGGGGAATAACAGAACGTTTTCGAAACAATTCATGTATGTATGTACGTGGGTATACGGTCTTTTAAATGTATCAAGTCATACAAAGGCGAAGTCTCAGATGATCATGTCGTACGTTAGCAGTTGACAAGTTTCCTTGAGAATTCGCCGAAAATCATCCGTAGAACTCCGATGATGCTTGAGATAATGAAGTCGAGAATGAGGAATGACAGAACCTCCGACATCTTCCATAATCCCCGCTCATTGAAGCACGTATCGCGCTTGAGGGTGATCCCGCCAATGGACCGAATACGGAAGAAGAATTCTCCCCCTTCGGCCTGAATCTTCCGTCAGATATCGACTCAGAGAAACCGTCTCCGAAATCCATGAGCACTATTAGCGCCCTACGGAGCCAGAGGCTATCGCCCCCCTGATTCCGAGCTGACTGACCGAGAGGGAGACAATTTTCCGAGAGAAACGTACATGCGCGGATCTCTTAACCACTGCCGTCCCGCACAGGGGGCTCGTCAAAGACTGGCCAGAGAAACCACCGACATGCGTGCAGACAGCTGGTGCGTGATTTCGATGTGGGAAATCCCTCAAAGAAGAAACGGGCTCTAGGAGCATTCAATCAAGGTCTGAGAGAATCTCGTCATCCCAAGTACGCCGATCGTTTCACGGACGAAACCTTCTAGAGCCGGCTATCGAGCGTGGAACCCGGCCCCACAGAGACCGGAACCAAAACAATAAAACCAGTTGAGTGCTTGTCAGCATTCGTGTGTGCGCTTCCTTGATTGGATGCCTCTCCAAAACTAACCCATTGCTATTCCTCCTTGCTTATAAACTGCACCAGTCACGATTTGCCTACAATAGCCCGAGCCCAGTCCGGCTGAGAGTCGATGCGCGAGTTTGCTGGCAGTCCGGGGTCTGAACGCTCGCGGATGGAGAGAGGACCAAAGTCATAGATAGGCATCGTTCGCCGCCTCTAATTCAAGCTATCAAACACTCCTCCGTGGCACCAAGATCGCTTCCGGGAAGCACAAGAAGGATTTATGTTCTCCAACGCAATCGCTCCACAGTTTTGACTCGGGTATGCAAGAACGGACTTACCTCCGACCTGCCGACGAGCTGCACCAAGGTGCTCCGTAGACATTGATCCCAGTCTGGACCGAACAACCCACCTTCTCTTCACGTCGGGTCCAAGTTGAAGCGGATAGGAGTCACCCGATGTGGGAGATACCCCTCAGGCTAGAAGCAGTTTGCAGGGATCGAGTCACGTGGTTGAGATTTGGTCGCGAGAGCGTAGGCTGAGGTTGTATTGTATTCGGGTCATATGAACCTAGTGAGGTGAGTCTTGTCCTATGGGCAAGACGACGTCCCTGAGGAGCTCACGCCTCTTGAGAGGTCTATCAGCTGACTTCAGAATCGAGGGATTGAGGAAAATTCACGCTTTTTTAGAGGAAGCCCGGATCGGTAGCCTCAGAGGCACTGAGGGGTGGAATGTGGACGCGGCTCGAAAACCCCAATGACCCCGATCAGTTGAACGGTTCTCGAAGGCACCCCGCTATCCGAATCCCATCCTAAGCTTCAATAGGTGAGCGTTTCCGACCATTGAGGCCTGCATGAAAAAATTGTAGTTTAGCCGATCGGAAGGGTTTAGTGGAGGTGCTCCTATAAGTCATCTGTATCTGCAACGCAGTCCATTACGCGTTTCTGGGATTTTCTCTACTGACATCAGTCAACTGAATCGCCGCGTTTGATCCCGGTAGGCCGAATCGATCGAAGATCAGATCGATCGGATTGCATCGGCTTGACCAGATCTATATCTGCAAATACGCGAATTCTACGAATATATCATGACGTGAATCGACGAGCTTCTTCATGGCGTTCCGAATCGGGACCCGACCCGGATCGATGACGGAAAACGCTCGCATTGCCATCCCGATGGAAATCGCCTACTCGTGCCAGAGAGACTCTCGGTTTGCCTTGGAGACTCCACGATCTCGTCTGACTCAGGTGTAGCTGTGGAAGACGCCCAAGTCGGTCTAGGGCTGAGGCCACGGGCTCGATTTTCGCGGACTCGTACGGAGCTCGCGCGAGGATGTGCGATGCCGAGCCGGAGAAGGACGGACATGTGTATCGAATCACGGATAATTTTGCGGGCAAGATCGGTGAGGTCACAAGTGTGCTGACCAGGGGGGGGGGCGCTCCGATTCGAAGCTCCCACAGGGCAAACCCGTGGCGAATATCAAGTTAGCACGCATGTGCCTCTCGCAGTGCGCTCATGTTCTGTCTGCGCATCATTTCCAAGGGGCAAGCTGGTGAACCACTCAAACGGATGATGCTCTCTAAACGCATGAGATGGTGTGCGTGTCCTCGCCGTCAGGGGCAGAGGTATCATATAGCACGTTAGAATCAAGGTGCACGGGAGACGTAGTGAACGTGCACGTAGGTATCGTTCAGCTCTCGCTGGCGTAGGCGCTAGTCGTAGGTCAAAGGGCAGCCCTCGATCGGTCAAGATCCTGGCAGTAGGCTCCTTACTAGGCTCCCCAGGCTCACTAAAGGCGAGATAGAGAAGATAAGTTTACCCCGGACAATCTTCCACTTTCCGAGCGCCCAGAAAACCCCCGGACCGTCGTCTTAGCAGCGGTTGGCTTCTTGGAACCGGTGTTGGGTGCGACGAGAAGACGAAGACCCGTGAAGTACAGGCCACGCGCTGTCGTGATCCAGCGAGGAAATCGTGAAACTGAGGCAAGCCACAGGAATCAGCATGGAGGAGGAGGAATTAAATTCCCTGTTGATGGAATATCTCAGGCGCAAGGTTGCGGAGCAAGCTCGTGATGAGGAGTTCCGAGAAACCGCCGTTGCAGTGGGCGAGTTCTCAGGCACAGGTTCCGTGGCCGAAGCTGTCGAATGGCTCGATGGCTTGATTTTGGCGAGAAAAGTAGGCAGATGGTCCGAAGCATACGCTCAGAGCGTAGTTCTCACGAAGTTGGTTGGTCCGGCCAAGGCGTGGTTCAAGACTCATGGCAGCAAGTGCGAAAATTTCGCGGAGTGGGAAAAGGCATTCGAAAAGGCGTACATACCAAAGGAAGATACAGGCAAGATGATGGGAGTATTAGTCGAGGATTACCAGAGGAAAGACGAAGACGTAGAGTTATTCGCGAGGCGAACGGAACACCTCTCGCTGAAGTTAGGCCTAACGCAGGGAGAGGTAAAGTCGCAGATCCTTCGGGGTTTAAGGCCGGATTATGCATTCATGATCCCTTCTCTGCGGATCATCGAGCACGAGAACGTCAACGAGCTGGTTCGGGACATCAAAATATTTCTGGAAGATCGGAAAGCATTGCGAGAGAGAAAAGCTAGGTCGTGGAACGGAGCCGATATGCGTGAAGGCAAGGGCCCGGTTTGCTACAACCGCCGAAAGGAGGGCCACAGGTAAGCGAGATGCCCAGAAAGAGACAAGGAAGACCGACAGTCATACAAAACGGCGAGGTTCTCCAGGAGTTCCTTCACGATTGCATCGCCCAGAGTCCAGTCAACGGATTCCAATGAAAGTATTCCGTGGAGATCGGGTCACTGGCGACAGCGAAGTCCGCCCAATGGATGGACGGGAGCATCAGATCAGGCACGAAGAGCGTTGACATTGCGAGAATCAGCACCAGGGGGAACACAGGCGTCGACTGCAGCGGTTCGGCCAAGGGTTTCAAAATGCTCTGAATGTCAGAATTTTTGACGCGAAGCCAAGGAATGCACTGATATGAAGTCTCTAAGATACGGATTCGAGGAGATAAGTTTCTCCGACGCAGACGAAGATCCAGCTTTTAAGGATGTCGCAGTGAACAGATTTACGTCGGGAGCGATAGAGGATCTTGGAATTGCGGTCATCAATATATCTGGGAAGTCGTAAGCGCCGGTCTGTGAGTGGGTCCTCGATTGGGCAGTAGGCTGCCCAGGCTCAGTACAGCTGAAATAAAGAACAAATTAGACCCCCTGTCCCCGATCTTCAATTTCCCAATTCCGCAGGAAACCCCGGACCGTCCCATCAAGCGGACTCTATCGGGTGGTACGCATCTTATGTGGAGTACCTAGTATATGGTCCATGCGTGGAGTATCCGGATACGTACATACACGCATAGTATCTGAATTACATTTATCGAGTTCTTCTGTGTATGGAATAAACTATACATGAAGTAGTGTATGTACACTACAATATGGATTATATCCCCATCATATAGGGATCATAAGCGGGCTCAGCATCGGGATTATAGGGCTTGATGTGAACGAACATATATGAGCTCGGACCCATATATGAACTATCATGAGGGATCGCTCTTGCGAGTGAAGCACCCGAAGCTGCCAGTGACTGCGTTCCAGTCCCTCGATTCCGATAAGAGCCTACCGCTGTTTACGGAACAGGGCGGATGCCGAGTGGAACGAGAGCTTCCGGAGAGTTCCTCCGATCCGCTTGTGGTAGTCTGACATGCCCCGAGCTGACTGCCCCATCGAAATGCAAAAGACGGGCCCCATATCCAAAGCCGTCAAACTGGAGGGAACCGCTCTTGTGCATGGGTACGCGATGAATGCGTCCAATTCCGGAAAACGAGGCGAGTGATTTGTCGCTTCAGTCTCTCGACTCAGTCCAATCGATTCGTGGGTCCATTCAGAGCC